AACCTTAAAAACTTATTAATTGAATAAATTTTTATCCTTGTTGATATTAAATAACATGCTTTTTTAATTAATGTTTAATGAAGATAAAAAAAATTCATGATAAAAAAATCAATATTTTATAACTAGAAAAAAATAAAAAATAAATATTACCAAGTAATAAAAAAACAAAGGAAGAAATAAATAGAGCCCAGCAAAGTGGGACTCATCATCTCCAATCATTCCTGGGTCGGCCCATTTTGCTGAGCCGAGTATAGAGGACGGCCATTCTCTGACGTGGCGCGTGATAACGACGGACCGTTAAAATAGTGAGGCAAAGGGGAATGGGAGTGGGGAGGCGCGTGGAGAATGGGGACGGAGAAAAGGACGCGCATTAAAGAAAGTGGGACCCAGGAGGGAGAGTTGGGAGATCAAAGGAGAAGATCAAATGCATTATCTCAGCTTCTATCATTTTCCAATGAAATTGTGTGAAGATGACATTCATCTATCTTCCCCCTTTTATCATTGCCCCCCCCCCCTCTCTCTCTCCACCCCAACTTCCACCCCCAACTTCCACAATCCAATCAAAGTTTTAAAGTTACCTCTTTTCTGCCTTACACAAACCATGTTCCATGTCTCTCCAATCTATTTAATATATCACAAAATTCACGCTTTTCTCCCTTTGTTTTCACACATCCTTGACTTTGCTCTTCCAAAAACACCTCTTGCCTCACGAGTCATAAACCCTCCACCTACTAATACTTCTATTTTGCTTCTTAGCAGCAACACCTTCACATTTATAATCCCTGAGGTTCACTCATCATGTTAATCCAATTGAACCAATTTTTATCAAGATTTTTGCGTCTCATGCCTTTATTAACTAACCTTTTTCTTACATAAATTTTGGTAAGTCTTCCAACTCAAATTAAACAACCCTTATAAAAAATACTAGTTATTATTACTTCAGTGTTTCTCTTACAGAATTATTACATTAGGTTTATCTTCAAGTGAAAGGAAAAATTGTCTCGGTGAATATATTTGTAATAAAAATTAAACTTGTAGATGGAATGGAAGTGACTCTTGAACATAATCCCTCGAGGCAGTTGGGTGTATAGAAAAGTATTTTTTAAAAAAACGAAACAGAGAAATGTATGTAGAAAGAATTTATCGTTTCCTTTTTAAAAAAATAATTTGTTACCCACCAAATATTGTATAACGGCGATGACAAAAGTTGGCAGGGACGGAAGAGGGAGAAGGCGGCTGACTGAGGGTTTGAGGTTAGGGAGGCCATGGGGATGAAGAATATTTTCCAAGCGAAAAAAAAAAAAAAATCTGTAATATTGGGTCTAGCAAGGAACCCATGTTCCAATTTCTTTCTTAAAATTTGGTCCCTAAGCATTAAAATTCACGCCAACGAATCAAAAGAAAATCCATGTTACGTCCTTTTCCTTTATTGGCACCTCTCTCTTACGAACCCAAGGAGCTCTAAAATAAGATCATAAATAACGAGGTGGGAATGACAGAGAGAGAGAGAAGAGTCATGAAACGGTAGAGAGGTGAGAATGAGGATTGATATAACCTTATTCTAGCCAGTTTTACTTTCTATCGACTCATTTAATTTAATTTTATTTCTTTCTAGCAATCAAACGGATCACACAAATTTGAATCAAGATATTATGTTTATTTTATTTATAAATTTGTTCAAAAAAAAAATCTAATAAAATATAAGACTAGATGAACTTGGCTGGTATTTGACATTCTGCTGAGTTATCATTCGAAGTTATTATTTAGGACTTTGCTAATTAGATTATGTCATTAAAATTATGAATCTATACAAGGGTGGTTGTATATTTATCGTTAAGATGTTTAATTGCAAGTAGATTTATGGTGATGGAAAAAGTCTCACATTAAAAAATTGCATCTAATAAGTAATAAATAAAAAACAAAAAAAAATCATAAACTCAGGTCTTAAAAGTTAAGTTAAGACGTGGTCCTTCCATTACTCCTTTCATCAATCATTTGTTCTCCCTTATTTTCAGGCTCTTATCGCTCCCATTCCTCTCTCACATACATATATCCTTCCAATCAATTTAAATCTAAACCTGGGCCGAAAACATATTGGTCGGATAACAAAACAATGAGTAATCAAAAACTCAATTTGTGGTTGAACACCCAACTCTAACATCGTCAAAAGCAAATTTTCGACCCAAAAAATTGCAAATTATATCATAGGCATTATTGAAATAATTATGGGCCCATTTGGCTTTATGTTGATTAAAAGTTATTTTGTCAAAAAATCATTTAACAAAAATCAATTTAGTAAAAATTAGTTATTATAATTTTTGATACATATTTTAAAAGTTAATTCAATGTAAGCTAATAGTTGTTTGGATTTCATATGATTAAAAGTTCTTTTAAATGTAAAAAGGCATCAATGTTTGTTATACAAATGCAATCTATTAGAAATGATTAAAAATCATATATGATGAAAAAAATTTGACAACATAAAATTTGATATGCCAAATAATTTAATATAAATTGGATATATTGGACAAAAAAATTACATAAATAATTAAATATATATTAATGCTGAAAATTAAAATGATTATTATTTAAATGATGATTATATTTTTTATTAAATTAATAATATTATTTAAATAAAGAAATAAATGCTCAGCACTCAAATTCACTTTTTAAAACCTTCACCCTCTCATGCCTACCAAATTCACTTTTATTTACTTTTTGAACGTGTTTTCAAGAAATGCTTTAAAGATAGATTTAATATCCAAATAACTTTTAAGAGTCTCATATGCGTTTAACACTTGGTAAATAAAAATCATATAATCAAACAAATACAAAATTCCAAATCAATGTATGGTCCAAAGTTGTGTATAACTTTTTCCTGTCAAATGAATATAAATTTTGTACTTGATGACAAAATATAAGGTTGAAATAGTGTGGTTCAGTTGATAAAGAACAAGAACTGATTAATCAATACTTGATAACAAAATACAAGGTTGGAATTGCGTGGTTCAATTGATAAAGAACAAGAACTGATTAATCAATATCCCGTGCTTATATGCCATATTCACAAACAACACAAATCAACCGACATAATTGTTAAAGTGAAAAGCGAAGTTTGATCAGAAATGGCTTTTTTTATCTTTCAACACAATGAAAGTAGATGCATTAACAAAATTATTGTTGGACGTCATAAAAGTTATTATGTCTCCTAGAGCTTTATTTATTTTCCTCATTCTTCTTTCATTCTTATGTTTCATTACGTACAAGCTCATGTTAATTAACTTGAACAAAAGATCGTGCCAAGAATTAAAACCAGAAAAAGGAAAGAAAGAAACTGATTTTTGTGACACTATTTGTGTCTGGTAGATGTTTTGACGTGGTTTACTTTTGGCATGCCCAGATCGTGTTTCCACATCATATACCTTGAATTTCCAATTCGAGCGTAATAATTAAGAAAAACCCATAATAATTGATATAAAATTATAGAAAGTATATATGAAACCATTATCTCAGTGGCTACTTTATGCTTGGCTCCACAAAACTGTACTGAAGATTCCGAACTAGTAGTGAAGTACTTGCATTGATCCAGAAAATAAAATAAAATAATAAAAAATAAAGTAGTTGGATTGTTTTCTCCTTTTGTGACAAACACATATAAAATAGTTTTTTTTTTTGGGGGGGGGGGGGAATGAATGAAAAAATCGGTATCTTTTAGTCACGAACTATCATGTCTGACTTGAAAACTACCAACACATGAACCCCCAAGTCCTGATGTCTCAATTATCTGGACCCCCTTTGCACTCCCAGATTTGATGACTCACTGCATCTAACACTGAAATATAAATTAATGAAGTTGCAGCTAGCTACTAGCTACCCACCATGCCTTCCAATTTATATCACCTACACAATCATGAATTCCTTATATTTTACTCCCTCCGGTCCTATTTATAAGTCATTTTCACCAACCTCATCAATACCAATACAATAAAAGTACAAGAAATAAAAGTAAGTAAAATTTCAAACATGCCTCTATATAACAAATCTAAAAAGTAATGTCCTGTTACTTTTTCTCTCTCATGAAGGGTAATTTTAAAAATACCTCTTAAATATTATCTAAAAAGACGCACCGTGACTTATAAATGGGACCAAATATATCTTTTAAAATTGAACTTATAAATGAGACCGGAGGGAGTAATTTGTAAAAATAAATAACTACGGCTGCGTGAAGAAGTGAATTTTGAAAGAATTCTTACCTATCCATGTAATTCAAACTCTGCTGTATCCTGCTAGACAGGAACATGGCATGTTATCAATTATAATCTCTATATGGTACTATAGTGATGTTGTGAAACATTATTTTTTATATATTTTTTTCCTTTCAAATAGGGGCTAATTTGAAAATTCCTTTCCTTGGAGAAGAGATTGAAGAGAATTAAATTTATTGTAGGAAGTATCAAGGTAATCTGGCCAACTGGAAAAGCCTTGTAGATGAACAATGGGAGAAAAACAAATGGAAATTTTTTACCCATGGAGAAGTTATACTCTTTCCGTTCCTTTGATTTTCACAAGACATATCCTCTATAAAGTTTTAGTATTCTTATATGACATTTTACAAAATTTTAAAAATGATTTTGGCGTATTTAATTAAAAAATTATTGAAAAGATTTTCCCCTCATCATTAATAGTAACATTTTCGACAGTAAAATTTGGATTAGTTTAGAGAAGAACTGATAATATTCTAAGATTTTTCATGATGGCAAACGATTGAATCAAAATAAAATTTGCCCCGCCAGCCTTTTTGAGTATTTTAGTAAACAGTCAAGACTATTTTTTATTTAAATATAAGAAACATCTACCATTTCTCTCATCTCTTTATTAAATATGTTTCATAATTGGGAGAAGAAAACGTTAGACGTTACGGTTTTTTTTTTTTTGAAAAAAAAGGAAAATATAATTATATATATATTGCATAGTGGGGGAGTGAAAAGACGAGAGGGGGGAGCATATATTTATGTGAGGAGGAGTTGGAGACAGGATACATAGGGAGGCGATAGGCATAGCAATAGAGAACAGGAAAGAGGGAAGAGAGAAGAGAGATAGGGAATGAAAAGCATGAAGGGCTATGAGCCCCGTTCCAGTTCTTCCTGCGCTGCCTGCAAGCTCCTCAAGCGTCGCTGCACCCCCACCTGCATCTTCGCTCCCTACTTTCGCTCCGACGAGTGCAAGAAATTCGCCAAGGTCCACAAGGTCTTCGGCGCCAGCAATGTCAGCAAGATCCTCTTTGAGGTCCCCGAGGACCAGCGGGAGGACACCGTCAACTCCCTCGCCTATGAGGCCGACGCTCGCCTCAAGGACCCGGTCTACGGTTGCATTGGCGCCATTGCTCTCCTCCAGACCAAGATGTTCGAGCTCCAGCACGACCTCGCCCTCGCCAGGGCTCGCCTCGCTCGTTATTCCTCCGCCTCCGCCTCCGCCATCAGTTCCGCCCCCGCCCCGCCCCCCCGCCCCCGACGCCTTCCTCGCCTTCCCTTCTTCTTTCGACGATACCTTCCCCGCTCACCCGGCCCTGCCTCCTTTCCCCGACTCTTCTTCCTCTTGCTGCGACGTCGACGACGGCTTCTCCTCGTCCCAGGTTCAGTTATCGAGCCGACATGATATGGTGGATGATTTTTTCCAAACCCCATATATATTTTGAATTCTCATGCTCTCGGTGATTTCCCTGTGTGATTGTGGTTTGTTATGGATTGGATTCGAGAAAATCAAAACAGGGCACTCTGTTATATATATGTGTGTGCTGATATAAATAAAAACTCCTTGTGAATCATGGAATTACTACTCTCACTATCAATTCATTAATTAATTACTGTGTTTGGAAATGACGAGTGTTTCAATTGATTCTAATTATGTTGTGACCGAGTGTTTCTTGGGATTAATTCGATGGAGGACTGGTTGAGTTTTGGGTGGGGGCATGGGCGGGGGAAGGCGAGGGATGAATCCGAAAGTGAGAAAAAGAAAGTGTGGAGGGAGGGAGGTAATGGGGGGAATGGATGTAGGGGCAGAGGATGGTGGGCATTCATTGCGATGAGCAAGAGGGGGAAGAGAGAGAGAGGGAGAGAGACACCAATCAGTACAAAGAAAGCAACACAACTAATAAATTGGAGGCCTACTTATCTGGGAGGCATTGCTGCGACTCATAGTGGATCTGACAGCACTGTTCAACGAAACACGGAGAACCCCCATTATGATTTTCACACCCAAGTACTCCCTACCCAGCCCCACATGTGGCCGTTATCCTTTATCGTCTTTTGGGGAATCCTAAGGCGGAAACGCCACTTCTCACTTCAATGGCACCACCAAGCCTCCCACCTCATCAAACATTCATGTTTTATCAATTTGGCTTTAGTGATAAAGGCTCTAATCATTTAAATAACTTGTTAGAAGTTCGAATTTCAATCCTTAAATTAGATACACAGTAAGTTAATTGAACAAGGGTTTCTCATTTTTAATATTTTGAACCGCGTGTGCCTGGTATGTGGCAATGTGATAGTTTCGGAGAGAAAAAGGATGTCTCGTCATTGAGGACCTTTCATGGAATGCTACAGTACCTCTGAATTCCTGGATACCCTCGGAAAAGATAGGATCTTTTAATTTTGCGACTGACAGCCCTTCACAGTAGTTGTTCGGTGTAGACCCCAAGTGACAAATACCATACCCACAAAAAAAAAAAAAAACAAAACAAAACAAAAAGGTATTCCATCACTACATCACTTCAAAATCAATGACTTTGAAGCTGGCTCGTAAACTGTGAGGGGAGGACTTAGCCTCTTCAAAATCAAATCATGAAACAGCGGTAGAATAAAACAAGACTAGCAGCACATAACTTAATTAAAATAATCACACACATCTATAATTATTAAAATAAATAAATCGCGCACATAGACATAATGCACGAAGGTAGCAGTTTTTTGCGGTTTCATCTTTTACTCCGTTTAAATCCAGATATGACTAACTATACTCGGATCAAGGCTTGAGAGCGGGAATGATGTCTCCGTTTCAGTGCACGGCCCTTTCTCTTCACCTCGTGTTAATCATTTTTTTTTTGTCACAACTAAACGTACGGTCTCTTGGAAATTTTACTAATCACTTGTAAATACAGAAGAGCAAGGCAATCTCTCCCACGCATCAATCCATAAATTATCATGATCATCTTCCCCCACGTGAACTCTCAGGGGACCCACCACCACATTCCGACATCAACCCGCCGGGACATATTGCTAAAGCCGGCTCGCCAATCGGGGCTGGGCTACGCTTCCGCTTTAGACGATTTGACGGTCAAATTGATGGCGAGGCGTTTCTTGTAGACTGTAGAGATGGCGTGTGGGCGGATCAGGGAATGGAGACGGCGATAGAAGAACCACTTGGAGGGAGGGCGCTTCAACTTCTCGAGCGCGTATTTCCTCCTGATGGCGTCGATCCTATTATTGCACTGAACATCGGCCTTGGAAAGCTTGACGCCGTTTTGAGGGGCGTTGACGGCATCGGCAACCTCCTTCCAGCGGTTGAACTCGAGGCAACAGCCGCCCCAGGACTGGATGAAGTATCAGAGACAACGGCGCTCCAACTGTCGTGTCGGGCCAGCGTGGATAGGGTTGGAAGAAGAAAATCGTAAACGAAAGAGAAAGCGGTCCGTCGGAAGCAAATGGGGCTGACCGCCAATTGTGACGTCGACGACGTCACCTCCGCAAGGATTTTGGAGATTGCAGTTGGAGCGAAAAGGCTTTTAGTACCCGCCTGGCCGCCTGAAGCTGCGACTGTTTACTGTTGTCAATCTAACCGTATCTCTTTTTTTTTTTTTTTAAATTGCGATCCATTCCAAGATGCACGAGCTCATAGATGTTACACTCTCAAATTAATTTTTTAAATTTAATATTATTATATTTTTAATTTATAAAATTATATCAATTCAATTCTAAATTTAGACAAAATATAAACTTTATTAAACTCTTAAATTTACCATGTTTATTTTTTTACTTATAAAATCATATCAATTAATTTAAAAATTTAAATTAAATATAAATTAAATTAAATTTATCAATTTTTTCAGTTGAACGAGTTAAGTATATATTATTAAAAATTTAGTTCATAAATATTATAGGATCTAGTTCAAAAAAATAACTTAAAATGCAAAATTAATATTAATAAAAAAATAAAAATATTAAAAATAATTTTCTTTATTTTAAATTTTTTTATATTTTGTATATGATAATTTATTAATATAGATGAGTTTAATTTTAATAATTTATATTTTTAATATATTTAAATTAAATTATGATTATATTTTAATAGTTATTAATTAATAACGATAAATTCTTATAAATTTACTATTTTAGTTTATGATGCAAGTTTACATTTCTATTATAATTTTAATTAAACTCTTAAATTTAACAATCTTGAGCTACTTATACAAAATTCACTTACATTTTTTATTTTTTTATTTTTTGTCAAGAGAAAGTAAATGAATTTTTCATACATAAATATAGTTTTCTAGGCTCATGAAGTTCAAGAAAAGTACAGACTTTGTGGCTCACAGTATACTTTTGTGGGCACGTGTAAAATACTTACTAAAAATGTGTTCAAATCAACAGCGGCACTTCAACCTAAGTTTTTGAAGGCAAATTGTTTTTTATGATATTATTTTAGCTGTAGTCTTATTTTTTTATAAACTTTTCAATTCAATTATTTACATAGCTTTTTTTTTTGGGTGAAAACAGTTGCATAACTTTTTGCCGTTATATAGTTTTGTTTAATGAAAATTATGGTTAGGAACTCAATCGAGTTTATTCTAAGTTAATAGCTTTTTAATTAATTAGTGGCCCTGGAATAAATTTTAAAATTATTATAGTCAACAGGATTTATAACAGTCTTACATTGGTGGTCCCCTACCAACTTTTTTTTAAATCAAAATAATTGTAAGTTTGTTCAATAAAATTTAAAAATAATTTAAATAACCAAAGTAAAATATCATATCACTCTGTCGCCTTCGTATAAGTCCCCATCACCTTCATTAACTTCTTACTATGTTCTCGTTGATCGGTGTTACATCTATTTATTCATACATTAATTATATGAATCTTATATTAAAAAAAAAAACAAATTGACATTCATCTTAACATTTAACCTCATTTATTATACTCCCTCCATTTCAAATTATGTGATACTTTTGAAAAAAAATTTTCATTTCAAAATAAAAAATATTTTAAATAGATTAAGTTTTCATTAAATGAATCAATTTCAATATTATTCTTTCTCTCTCTATAATTAATTTCCATCACTTCTCTTTTTAATATATTAAATGATAAATATTTTAAAAAATTTATATTTTAATTTTGAAAAAATAAAGTTACTAAATATATTTAATGAGGTATATTGATATATAAAATTTTATTTAAAAATATTTTATAATTTAGGATGAAGGGAGTAATTTTTTTTTTTCTTATTATCTTTTTCAACACCTAACCTTTACTAGCATATAATAACAGTATTTATATATATATATATATATATAATGAAAAAGGTAAGAATTAAAACTTGAAAACATGGAAATGACCTAAAACTCCATGAACTGCACAGTCCAATGCGGTGGATGATGATCAACGAGGTTCATTTTCCAGCATTCCTTCTCGTCCACACTTGCCCAACCTGTCACCACGTTCAACAGCTTCACCATGGGAATGACCTAAAACTACACTTTCAAGTTACTACTTTTGTGACCGCCAAGCGTTTGTTTGGATCAACTGGATAAGAGTATTCAGCTCAACCAAAAGTGATTTCAAGTCTGAGTCTTAATATGCAGTGGTAATTAAATTTTTGGTGGGAAGTATGCCTTTTAAAAAACTGTTCAACTTACACCTTATGCATCATATCATTAATTAATTTCACCATCATCGTATGATACTAATCCTGCGAATCTAAAATTTAACACTTGTAGTATAGTTTAATCTCCAATTTTTACCTCCAAAATCGTTTCTTTTATTTTATTAAAATGGTAGCACGTATATTTCACCTCACTTGTACCCAAGCAGATCGTAAATTTTGTTTCCACGACTCAATTTTAGAGCGTATCTCCTATTTTGACACCTCTATTAAAACAATATCACCTGCAATGAGTGTGAATTTAGGGGTTTTCTTTTGTATGTGCTCAATGAAAATGTCAAAAATTAAGTCAAACATACAAATTGCAATGGCAAGTATGGGTTTTTGTGGACTTGATAGTTTTTTTTTTTTATGTTGTACAGATATCCTTATATTAGAAGCAATCCTAAATGTTGGTAACTTTCTCATCAGAGATTAGAACCTCGATTTGTTATATTATCAAGAATCAATTCAGTCCATTAGATTCAGTTCCGCCGAATAGTTTTTTAGCAAATGACTTTGTGTTGGGTGACTAGACAGTCCTTTTCAAGCGAAAGGCTCATAGCCCTCAAACTCGGCCTACCTTGAGTGGATCCATAAAGTTAAATGGGCTGATCTTTTCCAGTTATGGGCCCATGTCTGTAGAGATGAACCCAATGGCTTATTTTGCTTGTCTGGGTTAGGGGAACCTAGCTTGTTTTTTTTTATCATTCAGAACAATCATCTTCTTTCCGTTACTCTTTTTTTTTCCCCTTTTTAAAGTAAGACCACTAAATCATCTACCATATCTATGACTGTTTTCCATTATGTGTATTTAAATTTATCTCCAACGCTTTGTTCACCTAATAAATTAATGGTACGATGCATAGTTACTTTGTTCACCGAAGTAAGTTAATATGTAAAGAGCTAGAATAAAGCAAGTGATGTGACCATAATCGATTGCCACAGGAAGATTTGGTATGCTTTTGAATTTTCATGTTACTGTTTGGCTTGAAGAATCCTTGCAAATCTTATCTCAAAAAACATAGTGCATCATTTAGGCGTAACATCATGTGGAATTAAAAAAATTTAAGCTAGTATATACTCGGGAGAATAAATTTGTGGTTCTTCATTTTCTCGTTTGAGTATCAAATTTTTGAATATTTAAACTAAATATGAAATGTCGCTCAAATAAATCACAAGATTAGTTGGGCTGAGTAATTAAAACATCGGGTTCAATATAAACGAAAGGAGCCGACCTTGAGGCTCAATAAAAGTCACAATAAATAAATATGTTGAAATCTCATCAGCTACAAATATTAGACTGTTGGCACAAAAGATGTGATCTTAAGTAATGTCAAAATCTACGAACCTCACGCTCAAGTATCTCGATGAAACGGGCTAATTATCAAAATAAAAGGCATGGAATAAAGATCGTGCCATGAGTTTCGCGAGATCACTGATTCCTCGACAAAACATGCTAGATTTTAAAGAAAAAGCTACCGCTACTTTAACACTATAAATAGAAGAAAACACAAAAGAAACTAACCAACACTCAATCAAAGACACAATTTTACATTTATTAGCCTTTTTAATTTATTAGTCTGTCAATTTAAATTTGTAATCTTTTCACATTTTAATAAAAATTAAACACTTGTTCTATCAAAGCTTTATATTTTTTTATATCTGTATAAACTATGATAAGGAAGCTCGAAATCTTTTTATTATTAATTAAGATTTAACATTTTTGACACGCTTGATATTTATTATTCTACTCTCGACAAAGTAACTCGTACTCTCTTCTTCCATGCCCCACGTTTTCTCAATGGTGAATAATAGAATGATCATGCAAAATTTAGAATATGCTCTCACAATCTGATCTCATCCTTCAATATCTTCTCGCCAAAAGAAAATCTAACCAGAATCTTTTTTTCTTTAAAACCCGTCATTCATTTCATTAAAACTTGCTATAATTTTCATTCATATTCTGGTTCTCGGATGATAATTACAGAAACAGCCAAACCATACCCTGACTCTATCTCATGTTCATTCCCATGAAGGCATCAATGTCCGTGTGGGAATTAAACAAAATACCATGAAACACGAATTTAAAATCAAATTGTGTTGGTTCTGTGATTGATTTTTTATTTAAAATGAAAAAAAAAGTCAAAAGGTATTTAATTAGTGGGTTCTGGTTAGTGCGATGTGAGGTAATAGATATACTCGTCAACGGCGGAGGTAGGGACGGCCACCATGACCTTCACAGCGTCGCTCTGGTCCTTCACCGGCAAAAACAAACAGTACCTGTCGCAACATATGGGCCCCACACTCACAGGCCTCCCCATCCCAAAGTCAACCCTCTCCAGCCCCAGCCTTGACCACTGAGACACTATTAGAACCCCCACCGAGTCAGGACACGCTCTCGACTCGGACACCAACTCAATCACCCTCCTCACGTGATCGCTGTCCACTCTCTCCTTCGCCCGCTTCACCAGTCCCGACCCGTACCCGACTCCCTTCTCCTCCAGCTCCCTCGCGCTGCTCTGAGCACACCCCAGCACGAACGCGTTCCCGTAGTACCCGTCGGGAAGACCCGGTTTCAACCGGTTCCGCACGTTGATGCTGAACAGCAGCTTCAGTGTTTGGTTCGCCGGGAAGTTCAATGCTCTGGCCCAGCTCCTCCACACGTGAGCGGCGAGGACTTCGAAGGACGTGAACGACGACTCGCCCAGTCGACTCGTGTCGAGGGCGATGCTCTTGAGCTGGTCGAGGTGTCTCTTGTTGAAGGTGATGGAGGTTGGCCTCAGGTCGCTCGAAACCCGAGTCATGAACCCGCAGAGATCGGGGACTTGGTTGAACTCGGGGAGGGTCGCGGGGTTCGTGACCTGAGTGTTCTTCGTAGATGGTAAATTGAGCAGGTGGCGATCCCAGACGGGTTTGTGTGCGGGCTTGATTGAGTCGTTAAGGACAGAGGATTTCGCTAACTCGGCGAAATGGTTGAGAAAATCGGCGCTTCCTATTCCGTCGCAAATACAATGATTGATCCCAATGCCGACGGCGGCGGAACCGTCTCTGAGCCACGTAAGCTGAACCACCAGAGGAGGCAATCCCGCGAGAACGTCGGCGACAGGGGGGTAGAGGAATTTCCTCCACTGGTTCACCGTTTTAGGGGCCTTATCGTGGAGATCGCCGAGCGAAAAACGATCAGAGAAGGCCTCGATGAAAACCGCACCCTGAGCCCGACACACGACCTCAAGACAGGAGCCGTCATGCCTAGCCCGGACCCTGCCGGCGAGAGGGTAGTAAGGAACCAAAGCTCGAGCCAATGCCGATTTCAGAGCTGCCGTTGTAGAAGCATGGTCGGAGGCAGGGCAGGGCGGGAACAGCAGAAGATACTCAATGGTGAAGCGAAGGAAGAGCTGGGAATCGAGAGCAGACAGCTGGAGAACAGCAGCAGGGGTTGAAGCAGAAGGGGTGACAGCCAGAGCTTCTCTGAAACGAACAGAGCTTCCCATGGTGATGAACGCAGAAAACAAAGAGAGCTCTGTGGTTTGGAAGACGAAGGAAGAGGGAGATGGATGGAGAAGAAGAGAGAAACAGTGGAAGTAAAAGGGATGATGAGGGAAGAGGACCCCATGTGTATCTTTTAATGTGACTGTGTGTTATCTGTGAAAGATTTGTGCCAAGATTCCCCGGGCATGGCTTTTTGGGAAAGAAATGAATAAAATAAAAAATAGCTTAGCTAGCTGGGGTTGACGATGAAGGTAGGTGCTTGGCAAGTGTGTGTGTGATGTCGCATTTTGCATATATTGTGTTGGTGTATATCCAATCCCAAATCTGTACGTAGCCCTATAAGCCATGATCATCTTTTTGGGTTTGTGGTGGTTAATGGGAGGCAATGGCGAAGGACGTGGTGGCGTGATATTTGTCGGGTGCATGTCCTTACTAACGGCACTGAGGGAGAACATTAAACTACAAAAGTTGAAAAGCACAGGGGCTTCTGTTGGGTTAGCATGTACCGTTGTGGGGATCATTCGCTTGATTACAAGCCATTTTGGGACTCGCCTGTTATTTTCTTCGTCTCTATCTTCCTCTGTATTTTTCAACGCTTCCTTCAGTTAGTTTTTTCATTCCAAAAAATATCTTGGTACTGTTGCGGACATTTTATTTTTAAGACAACGCTGTGTTTTTTCTATGCAATACTCACTCTAGTCTGTCTTATGAGTCACTTTAAATTTTTTTTAGTTAATATTTAATTATTTTTTCAAAAATTCCCTTTATTGAGGAGGATAGAAAGAGTATTTGATTTTTAAATCGGTATATTAATTAGGGGAAAAGATGAAAAATCATTTAATTTCAAGGAAATTTTAATTAGGGGTATTTGATTTTTCAATATTGCTCGTATAAGGCAAGATTTTGATCTTGTGAGTAATTTAAGTCAACTCACACTATAAGGGTTTTACATGATATGATGAGAATCATTTTATTCAATCAAAGATTGCCATAGATTTTGTCATTGATACTTAAAAAGCATGAAATCTGAGCTTTTTCAAGGGACATGTGTGAAATGACTCTGGAGATTCTTTTTAATTTTTTGATTGAAATGTATTTTGATAATTTTCAAGAGTTGATGAAATTCAATAGATATAATTAATATACTAATTGAGTAAGTAGACTTATTTCGTTGATCATCAAATTCAAATCTATATAAGGAACCACTTTTAACCAAATTGCACTCTCTAATGAATTAATTAATTATTTTTAAAATTATATATTATTTCAATGTCTATTCTTTTTTAATAAGGTGTCTCGATTTGAAAACATTATTAATCACAACCCTATTTAATGGTACTTTTGAAAAAATCTTATTAGTTACTCTTTGAAAGACCCAAAATATCTTATTTTCTTTGTTCCAAATTATAAGGCAACTTTGAAGATATTTTGTTGTCCTAAATTATAAGATAATTTAAAAAAATTAGGATTTTATAATGATACTTTTTTAATATTACCTTTCAAGTATAGAGAGAATTGAAATGATATTATAATGTAATAAGTAAATGTGTAGGGAATTTTAAAAGTATATAATTTTAAAAAAAAATTGTAAAATGTAATTATTAAGCTTTTTTTGTAAAAGATTATAAAATTTTATTGGTATGTATAATTTTATCTCAAATTATTTTATAATTTGAAATAAAAGGAGTATATTTTTAGCATGATATTTTGAACAAAATATCTTGTGCTATGGAACGGGGAAAATATATATAGAACCGGATGTAGTAGCATAATACTATCATGTAAAACAAGTGCAGAATGAAGCTTATTTTATTTTGTTATAACGCTAAATCATACCAATTTTATATTTTTTGATTGAGTGATTTTTCACTATTTAATTAAAAAATATTATGTTAGTGACGAGGTATATATATTAGAAGTTCTCATTCCACCGAACTAGTCATGTTACCAAGTCGCATTCACATTCAACTAAGCAGACTTCAGCCGTTAATTATTTTTAACTCTGTAGACTTGTTGGAATACAAAATTGATTATGAAGCCAAATTCAACTATTAGGAGTAAAATTAAAGGAGACTCGCGGGATTTACGTAGGCTTGAGATGAACTATACGATAGTATTTATGAATCAGAATCTGATTGTATGAAAGGAAACGAATCCCTTTGAATTTTATGTCCCTGAAACTTTTCCTGAGGTTGTATTTTTAACGGCCGGTGAGGCACAATACTTTCTGCTTATTTTTCATTTATAATACATATACAGAGGGAGGGAGGGAGGGAGACCTCTCACGAATAAAGACTGAAAAGCAAAGTTTGGGACAGGTGCTGTTTAAGGTGATGAGCACTACAGTCTTGATCACTTTTGATAAAATTTAAGGCGTTTAGATTTGATACGAAAAGTTTAGACATAAAACTTTTTTAAAAAATTATATATAAGTTTTGTAGAGTCATGAAATCTAAAAGCTACAGCCAACATTTTTAAAGCTTGAGTGTAATTTAAAATTAATTTATAAAAATAATAATATTCATGTTAAACATACATTATGTCAATTAAATAATTAATTTATAATTATTTATCAGTTATTTACAATTATAATTTTAATTTTTTATAATTATAATTTTACATATTCAATAGTTAAACAATCATGAGTCAATAATAAAGTAATTTCAACTTTTCATAACATTAATTTCACATATCTAATAGTTCAACATTAATTATTTACAACTACTTCATCAATAATTTATAACTATAATTTTAATTTTTTATAATTATAATTTCACATATTAAATGGTTAAACTTTGTCAACTTAATTATTAGATATATATAAAATTATAGTTGTAAGAAATTTAAAATTATAATTATAAATTATTTAACTAATATAATGTATATTATTTAATAGGGAAATTACTATATTTTGAGCTAAATTTCATATTACACTCAAGTCTCAAGGTATGTAGTTGTAGTTTTTGAAATTTGTAGAATTTATGTGTAAATAAGTCATCTCTATGAGATCTATATGTAATTTTTTTAAAAATTTTAAAAAATATATAAGTTGAGAGATTTATTTTTATTTTTAATATTGTATTTATCAAAATTAAAATATATAAAATATTATACAAGTCATTAATATTAGATATGGAGTGTGTAAAGTAAAATCTAGATACTCAGTTTACAAAAATTATAAAAAATTTTAATATTAAATTTAGACCATTCAAATTAATATTGAGTATAATTATCAAAAAAATTATAATTTTTACAAATACTTATTTTGATAAATACATAGTAAAAATAAAAACAATTCCCTTGACTGATACTTCCCAAAAAAAACATTTTTTATAATAGAATTACAAGTTAAGAGTTTTAAATATGAACTACTATCCAAATCAAATTTAGACAACCCAAATCTCATAAGAGAAAGAATTTCAATGCTTATTAGTGTAGATTTAAATCTATTTTTATTTTTATTGAATAAAAATTATAAAATTTTAATAAATTTATTTTATCACTGTCGCACCCGAAAATGTGACGCGGACGGTGCGAGAGTGGAGGTTCCCGGCCTTTGGAAGGAAGATCGGAGAGATGGGAGCCGTCACCAAGATTTTGAGAAAAATCTCGAAAAACCGTTTAAAGGTAGATAAGGATGATCTGCAAAATCAGAGAATAGGTACGAGAGTCGATTGAGTGTGGAAAAGGTGTTAGGCATCTCACAATACCCGTTCGTAAGAACGATTATCTGAAATTTATTATGCTATATAAATATAGTTTTAAAATTATTTTAATTATTCCTTTTATATTCATGTGTTTGATATAAAAAAAGTGATAAGAATTAAGCAAAAATATTTATTTATTTACGGAGAGGACTTGACTTAAAATCTGACTTTGAGGCCTACGTACCCTGTAATGGGGATCTAAGTCCACGTAGTTTGGACTTAAAAGTCTGTTGGTGAAAATATTTTTTTGAAAAGAAATTAATTAGAACTAATTCACCATTTTATAAATAAAACAATTTCTGAAATTTTGATATGTGTGTTTTAAATTATAAAAAGTAATTTAATTTTAATTATTTTCTTAATTTTTGAATTTTTGGAATAAAGAGAGAAAAGAGTTTTAAAATTATTTTTCTTTTATATTTTATGATTGGGGATTTAACTGTTATACCTGTATAGCTTTATTGGCTCATACGGTAATACAATTATTCTTTATATCTGCGGAGAATCTAAATTATCGTATGATAAAAGAGTTTAACAACTTAGTTTATTTACTTAAGTTTTTTTTATTATTATTATTTTTAGTGCATTCATATATACTTCTCTTTTTTTAAGAGACTCTTAATCATCATACTTGCAAAGCTTTATTGACTTTTACGGTAATACAATTATCCTAAATATCTGCAGAGATTCAAAATTCTCACACCATAAATGATTAAATATTATATATTATAAAAATATTTTAATACGTAATTATATAATTTGCGTTTTTAAATATAAAAATCTCAATCGCTATACCTATAAAGTCTTATTAACTTTCACAGTAAGATGATTATTCTAGAGGTCTATGGATATTCAAAAATCTCACATAACCAAAAGATTTAATGCATTAATTTAATTAATTAATTTTATTAAAAAACATTTGTAATTTTATTTATGAAATTTATTTATTTATTTATTTTAAGTTAATGACCATGACATTTGTGAGGACTTATTATCCTTCACAATGAGGCGATTAAGCTGAATATCTACGGAAATTTTTTAAATCTCTCACAATACCATTCAAATATTTTAATTAATTATAATTATATTTGGAAAATAATAACAAAATAAAATTGTATGTTTAACCATACATTTAAAATCCCCATATGAAAATGATATCATTAAAATCATAATTACCTTCAACAATTATTCAATTAATCTCAAATGAAAATTAAACACAAAATAATGTATGACTTTGAGAAATAAAGAAATAAAAATTAAATTTAGGTTGATTAATACTTTTTCATGCTAGAAGGCAAACTTGAATCTAACTTTACACTTAGCTTAACAATAATTTTTTTTTAATGTTAAAATTGAAAGCATCATGGAAAAATATTATAACTAAACCAACCTCATTTGTAAAAGCAAATAAACACGTGTTAGAGCATATTTAAGATACATAGCATGATTTAAAGAAAGAAAACATAATGATACAAAGCTACTTTCTCTTCAAATGTTT